GGCCGCGGGGCACATGCGTCCTGCGCTGGCTCTCGAGGCGCGTTTTTTGGAGGTCGCAACTGAAAAGGTCCGAAACACAGCTAGTTTATTTACTTAGCAGAGGCGTTAAGAAACGTAATCTATTTAGCCAAATCTCACCGTGAACAAACGAATATGAAGGCGAAAAAAGGATTGGAATTTTTGACAATATCAAGAATTTTTTCCTGTCATTAGCTAAGAAAAACTAACGATATTGAAATATTCTAATAGAACGAGTAAATAAAGATAATGCATCGAGCTATCTAGTGCAAAATAAGAATCATAATCTGAGCAGAAGAAGGCGAAAAAAGTGAAATTTTAACGCAATTCAACGATGCCTCAAACAGGAAGAGTCAAACATGATGCGGCGAAAAATTGACTTGAAGTCAACCTACAGAACGAAGAGAGCATTTCAGTTTTGACTTGCACTTTATATAAAGTGTTAAACTTATGCTGCACATTGGGATTTGGCTCCTACCTGAAAAATAACGAGGGAATCTTCTCCGAATTTTGACTCTTTCAGGAGCCAAACCTTCTCCAAGAAACAACCTCTTGCTTAAGGAAGTGAACACTGTAAACAGGAAGATCAAATTGTCCAACTTTCTCATCATAGGAATGTTTCAAGTAATAGCTCTTAGTGGCAAATTGTCCGTGCAACACTGACTTGTTCCCTCTATTCCCTGTTCGAGAATTTCAAGGATCTTGTTTGTTTATTTCAATTTCTGGTAAAACAGAACAGACCAACAGTCGAACAGTTTTTGAGATCTGCAACTCTTCTATATCTAAATCGTAGAAAACATTCTGCAGTGTTTCTCCAGAGATGCATTTGTTTATAAATTAACACGAAACAGTGCTTTTCGTCTTGGAAGGTGAACTCCTTCACACCACTTGATAGAAATTCTATCAGCGAAGCTTACAATAGTCTAGAATTTTGCTATTCATAGATTCCCGCATCTATTATCTGTTACTCTTTTTATCTACCTATTCCTCCCACAAAGAAGTCGAATAATGACAGGAAACTAAAGACTTCGCCGGATTCGAAAAATCCTTGCAAAATTTGGGCATACCTAACCTTTCTGCGGACTACGTCGCTTATAGTTATGATAGAGTAGGGTCTATTATTTCAATACAAAAGAGCCAGAAAAAAGTTAGTGGTGCGCGAAAAAACTGAATTAGATGGGTGCAGGACACATACGTCCCGCGCTGTCCGACGTGGCCTGCAAAGTGCGGGACGTATGTGTCCTGCGCTGTCGTCAACGTGTTAA